AGCAGGGAGCCCAATGCGGGACTCGATCCTGGGACTCCAGGATCATGACCTGAGCCGAAGGCAGTTGCTTTAACCAACTGAGCCACCCAGGCACCCCTGGGTCTCCCCTTCTGCATGTGTTAGTGGGGTACCTGCTGTGTGCCCGGGCCTGGGGCGTGGCAGCGAGCAGGCCGCGTGGCCCATAGGCAGGATGCCCCTCACCTGCGCGCAGAGTGCCCCTCACCTGCGGAACCTGTGGAGCGCGAGGGTGGCAGGAGCTCTGGCCCTGGGATGGCTGGGAAGGGCACGGAGAGAGCTCTGCTCCGGTTTTTCTAACTGGTGTAAGAGTGACAGAATCTCCCTAGAACTTCATTTCATTCCTTTTCTGAGCCACTGGGGGCTTTGATTCTGCTGCCTGACTGCCCGTCACATCCCCGTGGTGACGGCCACAGGATCTGAGAAGTCCCTGAGGACAGTTGTATAATTGGGCTTATTGGACCCAAATAATTTCCTTGTTTTATTTTTATTGCTAATTAGAGTAATGTACTCACCATGGTTTTGCCTGAATTACTTTTGAAAATCTCAAGTGAGAAGGGCAGAAGTGTCAGTGAGGGTGGGGGAAGGGACAAAAGAGCAAGGCTGCCTGCTCCTTGGGCCCTCACAGGGTCACACTGTGGCTCCCGTGTGCAGTGAGCCAGGACAGACAGTGGACAAAATACACATAATCACCGGGGACCCACCCTCCGCTGGGGAAAAGAGGAGTGTGCCCTAGGGTTCGGGACCCTGTGGTCTGTTCGGGGCGCGGTTGGCATCAAAGGCCTTCTCCTGAGACACCATTTCCATCCTGCTTGCCCGCTGCTGACACTCTTTAGTGCTCCCCCCGTAGCCTTCCCACAGATGGAGATACGAAGGTATAAAGGAGCCTTGAGATTTTAAGGAATCCTAGATCTAGGCCTGGCCTCCCATTCCCCAGTGACTCGTATTTACAGAAGAGCTGCACTTTCACCTGGAAACCTTCTGGCCTCGCTTTCTGAAGCAACTGAAGGAAACAGGACCAAGCCTCCCTGGTGCCCGCCCAGCTAGCCCCCCTCCTGCTGCCCCTACCTCACCTCGGCCGGGTCTCGAGCTGGAGGCAGCCCCCCAGGGCTTGAGGCTGCACCCAGGCCTCTTGTCTTCCAACCCAGGGGGCGTGTCCGTGCTCTCTCTCTGTCCAGGAGAGGGGAGCAGTCCTCTTCGTCTTTCTTGGCTCAGACTCACGGCTGCCCCCCCCCCCCCCCCCAGCCTGCCTGTGCCGTGCTCCCCGCTCCTGGCTGGGACTAGAAGGCCCGGTGAGCACAGAGGTTGCTTCCACGGGGAGAGCAGGGCAGGGTCGTGTGGGCGGAAGGGCTGCCGTCGGGGCGGCCACTGAGGTGCCGGGAGAGGCACCCGCTGGGGTCCGAACGGCCGTGTCCCCCCGCGCCTCCCCAGGTGTTCCTGCACGAAGCCACCGTGCGCCTGATGGCGGGAGCCAGCCCCACCCGCACCCACCAGCTGCTGGAGCACAGTCTGCGCCGGCGTGCCGCGCAGAGCGCCAAGCACGGTGAGCCGGCCGGCACCCCGGCTCTGGGCCTGCTGGGGCCCCTGCCTGAGCCCCAGCGGGCAGCCCCACCTGCAGTGCTCTCGGGGGGCGCGCGAGAACAGGAGCAGCCCGAGGCTTGGTTTGGCGGGGGCTGCTGGGGAGGAGCCGGGAACGCCGGAAGGCTGCGGTTTGGTCGAGGTGTGGGTCTAGCCTCAGGAGCGGGGAGATGATGTCCCAGCACTGGGGGGGGCGGGGGTGTCCCCGGAGCCACACTGCATGGGGGGGCGCGTCTCAACCCCACCGCCGAGTACTAGCTGCAGGGTACTAGCCGCGATCCTCCGCGGCCGTCCGTGGCCCGGGGCGGGCACCGGAACCCACCCCACTGGGTGCCTGAGGTCCAATAAACGCGCCCACAGCAAGCCCTTGGAACAGCCCCTGCGTCCTGGAGGGCTCTCGGTGACTGGTCCCTCCACGTATCTCGCCCTTCCCGCAGGAGAGGTGGACGCCTGGCCCGGCCAGCGAGAGCGGGCCACCGCCATCCTGCTGGCCTGCCGCCACCTTCCGCTGTCCTTCCTCTCCTCCCCGGGCCAGCGGGCGGTGCTGCTGGCTGAGGCGGCCCGCACCCTGGAGAAGGCGGGTGACCGGCGCTCGTGCAACGACTGCCAGCAGATGATTGTCAAGTTGGGGGGTGGCACGGCCATCGCCGCCTCCTGACCCCTGGGCTCTGCCCACCTCAGCCCGCTGCCTCCCTCGCCCTCCTCCCTCTGTCTCTCGGTCTCTCGCCCTGCTCCCTCTGGGAGTTGTGGGATGAGCCTTGTCTCCGGAGCTGTCGCCTGCTGAGGCTGGTGGACCACCTCAGCCTGGTAGGCCCCTGGGCCGAGCCCCCCAGAGCTGCTGTGGAGAGCTGCCCGTGGTCCCTGGGCCCGCGGGGCTGGCAGAAGAAAGCCAGGGCAGGGCAGGCATTGAGGAGCTGCCTGACTTGAAAGCAGTGGGGGGCTCCCAACCTGCTTGGCCCCTGCCTCCAGCCCTCAACCCTTCCCAGCTCTTCTCTCCCTGAACAGCCCCCTTTCCTGCTTCCTGGTTTTTTATCAGGCTTTCCCCGTGGGGGACATAGGTCTCTGGGCACCAGAGCGCTTCACCCTTGGCACTGTGCCCAGCTTGCCCCTTTCCCCCTTTTTATACAGATGTTTTTATATCCGTGTGCTTGGGTTTGCCGTGATGCAGGGCTGAGTTGCTGTGGCATCTTTATTTCTCTCCTTGGGTCTGTGTCCCCTCCCCTGTGCCTGACAAAGCCAGTTCATTGTTTTCTCTTTATTACACAGGACAGCCAAGGAAGGAGGGGAGCCCAGCCCTGGGGAGGCAAGTGGGAGGCAGGGGGCAGGCCTGGGGTTGGATGAAATAATGTCGGCATTATTTTTTAATTTTTTAAAAAATAAATGGTATCTTATTTAATTGTTCTGTTCCTTCCCACTCCCCCCGCCCCCTGGGATGCCAGCCCAAGCTCAGGGTAGGCCCAGGGGGCTGGGAGACATGAAGCTACCCAGCGGGACTGAGGACCAGGGGCCTTCAGTGTGGGTTCTCAATTCCCTCCCACCCCAACTCCTTCCTCCAACTCCACCTCCAGTCTATTTTTATCCCAAATTCTGGACCTGAAAATAAGCCAGGGTGGCAGGGACCAACCCCCAATCCCTCCCCATCCCTTTTTGGGGTGGACACTAGGAATAAGGCCCCCTGCCTTGACGGGGGTCCTGGGAGGAAAAGTCCCACTTTTCTGGATCCCCCCACCCGGGTTGATTCCTCCCCTGAGGCCATTTCTAGCAGGACCCGAGGACTGCCTGAGACCCCAGAGCCTGCTGTGAGGCTGAGAGGGGCTGCCTTTCCTCCCCGTCTGTGCAGGGGCCCCAGCACAGACTGGGGGGGTGCATGCAGCGGGGGCTCCCCCTGATGCCGAGTGCAGGCTGGAATGGCTCGGCTTGGACCTTACCCCCTTTCTGTCTCTGCTGCCCCTCCCCACACACAGTCATTTGTGGTCCCCGCCCTACCCCCCCGCCATGAGCCAGCCCTTGTGTCAGTGTATATACCGTGCCTTTTCTCATTATTGTTTAGGGGTGGGAGGGGGTGGTTTTTCACGGAAAAGGGGCTACACCTATGGCTTCCTTGATATGGAATCATTCACTGTGTCCTGGATGTAGGTTACTCAATAAACACAGATTGGTACCACCCAGCAGGAGGCGTGTGAGGGTCTGTAGTGTGACCGCTGTCATGACTAGGTGGCTGCGTGGCTTGGCTTCTGGGGGCTCAGGGACTGAGGACAGCCCCTCCCCCTCTGCTGAGAGGCCCCTGGAAGGTTTCAGTCGGAAGGACCTTCCTCCCCCACCCACACTGTCCCCTTCCTTCCGACGCCGCTGCCGGGTCGGAGCCTGGGTTAGAAGGGCAGCCCCAGGCGCTGCTGGAGGCCGAGATCCCTGTACCAGGACACAGCTGGCCGCTCACAGCAGCAGGGGTTTGGGATTTGGGGTGCTAAGCCTGTGTGTGCTCACCCCTCAAAGATAAATCTCCCCCCTACTGGGTGGGCTGCCCCTTAGTTTCCCTTCCTGGTCCGCCAGTCACATCCGAGTCCAGCTCCCGTACTTCCCAGCTGGGTCACCTGGGGCAGGACCTCACCTCTGCTCCACTTCCAGCTGTGTGCGACAGGGATGACAGTCCCCACCTTTGACCAAGTCCCCGTAGACCTGTTGGCGGGTTTCAGTGATGTGACACACACACACGAAGTACCGGTTTATAGTTAAGTGCCTTGTGCAGCAGCTGAGGGCAAGACCACAGGCAGCAGTGGGCAGGAAGAGGAGGAGTCCGAAGTGACCTGGGGAGGAGTCTGGGGCGGGGAGAGCAAGGTCTGTGACCTGGCCTGGCTGAGAAATGAGTCACAGCAGGCCACACGGTCCCGAGGGCCAGAGCAGCCAGGAGGGGCCCAGCTGTAGCATTTCCGGTGGCGGCCCTGCCCGTAGCCTCAGCCTGGCCCCCCTGGGATGGAGATCTAGGGTCCTTGGGACTGAAAATGAACAGGGGTTGCACCCACCTGTCAGGGCCTGTGTCACCAGGGTGGGTGGCTGTGGCCGTTGTGCCCAGGAACCTGATCCTTCTGTGAGTCTCTGCAGGCTCCATGACTCAGTACCCACCCTCCTCCCCCGGCTCTCTACACAGCTGCAGGATAGGCCCGGGACAGCCCGCCCCCAGTTGAGGGTGTGAGGACTGTCTCCCCTACCAGCCATAGGGGTCCTCACTGCAGGCAGGACCACGGACTCCTGGCTCTGTTCTGTCCTGCGGCTTCTGGGCCTTGGATTCCTCAAAAGCCAGAAGAGTGAGATGGGCCCTCCTCCAGGTGAAGAGCTGGGGGCTGGGGGGCCTCAGGGCAGCCCTGCCAGGAGGAAGATCTGAGACTGCCTGTTCCTGGGGAGCAGCACCGCCCCACCCCACTCCTGCCAGCACACACATTCAGACCTCCCTTCGTCCCCAGACTGCCCTGCCTGCCATTCATCAGATTCACAGTTGCAGAAGACAGAAGAGTCCTAAACTAATCAGCTGGGTGACCTTGGCAAGTTACTTAGGTCTCAAAACCTCAATTTCCTCATCTATAAAGGCACACACCCATGGAGCTTTTGTAGGGACTAAATAAAAGAAGCAGCAACAGATGGTAACCATTGTTTTTAAAACAGCACACGATGCCTAGGGTACACAGGAGGGAAACTGAGGCCCAACTGGGCGGCTTTGTTGATGTCCCACAGTGAGGGGCATAACCCAGACCTCAACCTCCCCAACCATCCCTGGTACAACAAAACTCATACACCCAGGCTGCTGGCAATGCCCTGAGACACGGCTAGGTACCCGGAGCCTGCCTGGCAGGAAGGGGAGAGCTGGCCCAGCCGAGCATGCGTGAGCTCCCCCCAGTGGGGGCACTGCCAAGGCTCGGCGTCCAGCATCCCCATTCGCTTTCCCCCCAGAGCAGCTACTGGGAGGAGGCTCCCCCATCCTGAGCACCAGCTGTCCGCTTGGCCCACTGCCCACGCCCATTAGGGGGGTGGCCCTGGACCAAGCTGGCCAAGTGGCCTGCAAGCCAGGTGCCGGCTCAGGGCCAGATTATGTCAATGAGGATCAGCCCGGCTCAACCAACTCAAGATGTGGAGTGAGTGACTGGCTGGAGGGGGCTCACCTCCAGTAAGGGGCATGGACCCTCCCGGGGGCCTCAGGCTCCCAGACAGCCCTCTCCCCTGTGCTCTGGAGCCTCGAGATGGCTGGGGCGCAACTGCCCGTCTCCCATGGCTCCCACTGGCGCGGACATTAAGCTTGGCATTCAACCCTGACTACCCTCTCCAGCCACTTCTCCCTGGCTCCCAGAACACTTGCCGGCAGCTCTCAGGAGCAGTCCTTTGCTCTTGCACATGCTGTGCCCTCTGCCCGGACCGCCGTCTGTCCAGTCAATGACCAATGCCTCCACCATCAGTGCCTCTCACAGCCAAGCCGGGGCTCCTTTATTGTCAGGGATGGGAGCCACAGAAAAGGCTTTATTTACATGAGGAACCCGGGCCCTAGGGCCCCGAGAACAGAACCACTGGCCTTCCCCAGTGGGCCCCTTCTTAGCCCTGCAGGCTCCAGGGCCCCAGTCCAGTTTGGGCAGGCATAAGGAAGGGCTGGCCTTCCACGGCCGGCGCCCCTCCTCCCCTGGAACCGGCCCAAGGCGCCCCCCAGACAGACGCGAGGGCTCGGGAGAACCAGCGGGCCGCGTCTTCACACGGTGACCTCGGCTTTGCTGTTGGTGCTCAGGTGCCGGGGTCCGCGGCCCGCGCTGCCGTAAAGGCCGGGGGGCTGCGGGCTGAAGGCCTCGGGCAGCTTCTCCACGCTGAACTGGCGCCGGGGCGCGTGGCCGGGCCGCCGGGGTGCGGGGGAGGCCTGAGCCGCCAGGTGGCCGCGGGGGGCGGGCCGGGCCTGGCGGCCGGCGATCCACGCCTTGTAGTGGCCGGACGGGGCGAGGCCCGCGGGGGCCGCGTAGCCCGGCGGGGCCCAGGGGCAGGCGTCGAGCAGCGCGGGCAAGTCCTCGCGGGGCCGCGGGGCCCGCGCCGGGAGGGTCCGCGGGGCAGGTTCGCTGGCAGGAAAACGCTGGTAGAAGTCCTGTGGTGTGGCTTCTGCGGGGACAGTGGGGGCGAGCCAGGGAACGAGGTCAGGCCCCGGGGGCGGGGCCCAGCGACTCGCGGGATCGGGTAGGGAGAGGCCAGGCCGCAGGGGCGGGGCCTCAGCTTCTTTGGGCCGAAAGGGGCGGGGTCAGGCCTCGGGGGCGGGGCCTCAGCGGCTCAGGGGCGGGGCAGGCCGGGGCCCCGCCGAGGGAGACGCGGGTCTCCACGCCCCGGGCTCTGGCTGCCGCTGTGGGGGACCGGCCGGGTGGCCCGGTGAGGCGACGGGAGGCCGAGGCGCGGGAGCCGATTCCCTGCGTAGGCGCGATACAGAAGCTGGCTGGAGCGCTGACCCGCAAGGCGGGGAACTGTGGAACTGGAACGGGGCCCCTGAGCCTTGTGATCTGGGAGCTTGGACACCCGGGGTGCAGCGCCCGGCGCCCCCCCACAGGGCTCCCCGGCCACTCACCTGCGGCCTTGAGCGCGGCTGCCTTGAGGGTGGCGTACTTGGTGTAGTCGGGCTGCAGCGTCATGCTGCCACCGCCCTGCAGCCGGGGGCCACGCAGGGGTCCCGGTGTTGCTGACCCCAGGGGCACGTTGTTGGGGCGCTTCTTGTCTGGAGCGGGGAAAGGGAAGGGGAGACCCGGCCTGCTGACTGGGGGACACTCTCCACCTGCACTAGCACTCTTCACTGTCCTCTCCCCAACTGCAGTTCAGGGAGAGCTCGTGGGGCGGCTACTTGAGAGAGGAACCTAACTTGACAGAATCTCCCGGCCTGGAGCAGGGGCCCGGCTCCGAGTAACATGAATGACAGCAGGCTGCCCTGAGTGGGTGCCAGCCCAATGGACGACTCCCCAGCATGTCCAGCTTGGGCCAGGCACTGAGTCCCAGGACGTGCTTCTCAGGAGACGGAGCTAACGTTGGAGCATTAGAGCCCACCGAGGGGAGGGGAGGGGAGGGGACTTGCTGTGAAGCCTGCCTCACCAGCAAGAGGCCAAGAGGGAGGCTCCAGCCTGGAGAAAAAGGCCCAGAGGCGTCCACAGGCTGGTGCCAGGCAGAACCCTCCCCCGACAACATCCCCCCCCGCCCCCCCCCCTCCCGGCACGGAGCCAAGTCCTAGAACCACAGCCTGAGCCAGGGAGCCCTGAATCTGGAACCTTCCTCACAGAGTCCCTGTGACTGGAAGTTGCAGGACACATCAGCAGGTCTCCCTTCACCAGGGGAGCTGACCGGCTTGCCCAGCCCCCACTCGCACACCTGCAGAGGCCGGCAGCTCCTTCCAGCTGTGAGACAGTGAGCTAAGAGCCTCTTCCCCCCTCAGCACACACCTTCCCCTGCTCCCAGGCCCACATCAGACAAGGGAGTCCCTGTGCTGTAGGTCGACCTATGCCGGTCCCCCAGCTTACACACCTGTGCTGTTGGGGGAGCCCCGGGGGAGGCCATCACCCATCTGCACCTGGACACAGCTACCCAGAGGTGGGCCCAGGGGTGGGGGCAGTGGCTCCTGGGGGTCCGGCTGCTTCAGAAGTTCTGTGAGTGTCCTGTGGGGAAAGAGGGATGAGAAGCAGCCCTCCCGACCTCCTGCTTCCCCACTGGCCAGGCCCTGGCCTATCTAAGGCCAGCAGCCACCACTCTGTCACTCTTTTGACCTCTCTGGGCCTCTGCCCTGCGGTTGATCTTACACATCTAGTTTCCACATCTGGTTTCCCCAACCTGGCCACTTCCAGAGCAGGTCAGGAAACTCTAATGGGGTCATGTGTGGCCAGGACTACCTTGTTTTTCAAAGACTCCCCCGCTCCCAGAGTCCATTCTCCAAGACCCATCCGAGTCGAACCTCCTCTCCCAGTGAAAGCTCTGCAAGTGTATCAGGCTCCTGGACTGGGCTTGTGCTGTACCCTGTGCCGACAACTTTCCTCCATCTCCTTCCACAAAACTCCTACTCATTCTTCAAACCCCACCAGAATCCCTCCTCTTCCAGGAAGCCTTCTTTACCTGCCAATGTAACTCCCTTCCTGCAGCAGGGGCTTCTGCTGGGTCCTGGGACAAAGCTGCCACACAGGCACGGAGGGGAGGACAGACAGGTAAGGGGAGGGAGGAGCCAGGAGATCCCACAGTGGCAGCCCAGCATCCAAGACTATGTGACCTTGGGCAGCCACCTCCCTGCTACCAGGACACCCAGCCCCACCCAGGTGTGACAGCTTCTGACTGAGCCTTCCCTGCAGACAGCCAGACCCAGCCTCCAGCCCAGCTGCCTTTGGTGCCCAGAATCCATGATTTTCTTCTGGCGCAGTCTGACCCTCCCTCCTGGGGCTGGGCCTCAAATGGCTGAAGCACCAAGAAGCGCCCTAGAGGTGGGCCCTCTGGGGTAGGTGCTGTTTGGCTGCAGTGTGGCAGGATGTGAATGCCCGCCTGAGCGGATCTTCATGCCCTGCCCGCTCCTCCGCTGCCCGGCCCGGTGGTCCCAGCTCTGCGTCAGGTCTCCCAAACACCTGAGTGATTTTCATGCCTCTGGGCCTCTGCGCAAACTTTCTCTAGGGACAGACTCCAGCTCCTCTGAGCTTGGAGGGGAGCTGACCATCAACCTCAACACAGCGGAATTAAGGGTGAGACTCCGGGGGAGGGGGGCAGGGGTTCAGCACACACCCACACATGAGCTTAAGTTGGGCTCCTGACCTCCCCAGAGGAGAAAAAAGAGGGCACATGGGAGCTGAAGCCCAGACAGAGGAAGGGACTGGCCTAGGCCACACGGCACATCACGGGTGGGACAGCCCGTCCTGGTGCATCACCAGGCCTGCTTCCCGCCCCCTGCGGGTGAAGTGGGCTCCAGGGGAAGGTGCCAGCTAGGTGGCCCAGCCTAGCGGTGTACACACCCTCACGGCCCTCAGCTCCAGCGGCTCCACTCTAGGCAAGGACATGCCCTGACTTCTTGCCCAGCCCGAGGGACTCCAAGCTCAGGACCTGCCCCCACGGCATCCAGGACCCCGGATGAGAGCCTCCACATCACCAAGACAGCACAGCGGCTGAGCCCAGGGTTCCACTCCCGGCTCTGCCCTGCAGCTGTCTGGGAGACAGGGGTGCTGTGGAGTGCCCGGGAAGCCCTCATCCCCTGCCCCTGAAGTCTAGGAGGCAGGCAGCCTCCATACCTGGCCTACCCAGGCTTGGGGGCGTCTCTATTGTCACCTCTAAATACCAGCCTGTCGCACACCCAAGGGAGCCCAGACCTGGGTGAGGAGGGCACAGGCCCCAGTACACGGGGTGGCTGGGGGCATGTGAGCATATGAGTGCGGGGGTGGGCGTAGAGTTCCAGGGCGAGGACACAGAATCCCAGAGTCCCCATTCGAGCTGAGACCCCACTTGTAGACCCCACTTCACACAAAGCTCAGACTCAGCTAGCACTTGTCCTGGCCTCCGCAACAACGAATCTGTGTCCCCCACATTTCCAGCGCCTTCCTACACAGGGAGAGACCCTGACCCCTGTCTGGGATGGGGTGGGTTGTGTGTTGAGTGGAGCGGGTGGGGGGAGGCCTTCTCTCCAGGGAAAGAAGGTCAGGCCTGAGTCACAGTTATGGGGGTGGGGTGGAAGGCAAGTGGAAGGGTGGGGGTAGTGGGGAGAGAAGCAGGAGGGGAGAGACCCAAGAGAGCTACAGAAAATGCCCCTTCCCTCCCTTCCCTACCGTGGGGGCCTAAGACACCCACCGCTACATCAGCCTACGCCCCCATCCCGCACTAGCGGGTCTCGGGCCCCAGGCCCCCTCTCTTGGGTGCGCGGTCTTTGTGCCCTCTGTCCGGGGCGACCAGCTCTCCCGCCCGCTCCGGAGGAGGAGGGAGCCGCGGGGGAGGAGGGCTCAGCACCCAGCTCCCTCCGGAAGGTCAAGGGGAGACGGGATCAGCTGTCTCCCTCCATGAAGTGGGGGTGGGGGGAGTAACAGACCTGGAGACAGAAACAGGAAGGAAAAACCAGGAGGAGGGGGCTGCTGAGAGGACCAGAGTTTCCAGACGGGCGAGAAGGATGAAGGATGGCGAGGGGGCGCCCACCGGTCGGGAAGGGCCGTCCAGGCGGGGAGAGGCGGGCGGAGAGGGCGGGGATCCCGGCCCCGGGGCCCCGGCGGGCGCGCGCTCACCTGGTCACGGTGCGCCGTGCGCGCGGGCTGTGCGCCCTCTCCAGGCCCAGGCGCGCCCCGATGCCGGCCAGCACGAGCAGCGCCGCGACGCCGCACACCGCGTAGACGGCCGTGTGGCTGCGCTCGCGGCCCGGGTCCCGGGGCGCGGCGGCGTCGCGGGCACGCGCGGGGGGCCGGCCCGTCTGCACCCAGGCCGGCGTGTCGTAGTTGGAGCAGCGGCTCTGGTCGAGGCGCCGCGGCCCGTCGTGGCAGCAGAAGCGGTAGCCGCACGTGCCGCAGCAGAAGCTGTAGGCGCCCGAGCTGCAGTTGAAGGGCGGGTCCCACTGGCCCATCACGTCGTAGTAGCCGCGGCAGCGGTCGCCCCCGGCCGGGGCCGCCGTGCCGGGCTGCGCCGGCTCCTGCGCCTGGGGGGCCCCCGCGCGGCCCGACGGCGGCCGCGCCAGCAGCAGCGCCAGCCCGAGCGCGAGCCGGAGCCCCGGCGGCCCGCCGGCGCCCCCGCGCAGCCCCCGCGCCCCGGCCCGCGCCATCGGGCCCGCGCCTTCGGCTACAGCGCCCCGGGCATGGCGGCGCGCCGCGGCTGCCTGCCGCCCGGCCTCCGGGCCGGCTCCTCCGCGCCCTCGGGGACCGCGCTCCTCGGCCGTCACCTTCCTCCTCGGACCCCAGAGCCGGCTGGCCGCGGCCCGGAGCTCGCGGGGCCGCACCTCCGGTGGGCGCGCCCTCCGCCCGCGCTCCCTGCGGACCCGAGCCCGGCTGTCCTCGCTCTGGGATGGCCCCCGGGGCCGGGCGGCGAGTCCTCGCGCGCGCGCCGTCCCCGGCCTCTCCGCGGGCCCGGCGGGTGTGCGTGGCCCGGGCCTAGCGGGGGCGGCGGGCCGCCCGACACCGCTGCCTTCCCGCCGCCCGCTCCGCGCTGCCCGCGCTCTGGCTGCGGCTCGGGCTCCGCGCGGGCTCGGCCGGGCGGGGGAGGGAGGGAGCGGGGGGAGGAGGGCGGGCGGGCGGGAGGCCGAGCCGGGGGAGGAGCGCGGCCGCCGCGAGGGGAGGGCGGGGGCGCGGCAGGGCCCGCACGGCCGGCCGGGGCGCCCCACCGGGGACCCTCCCCGAAGGCCTGCTCGGAACTGGGAGCTCCAGGGCCTTCAGCTTACGGCTCTCAGGACTGTTACTTCGGACACAGGCCCGCGTGAGTGCGCCTGTCTGACGGGTGCGGGGACTTAGGGGACAGAGAGGTCCCGGGAGGGTCGTTGCCGCCCCCACCCCCTTCTTCCTCCTTCCCATCCTCTCCGTCAGTTCTGACCGAGACAGAAGTGTGACAGGTGGCAGGCCCCGTCCCCGCTCTGCGCCTCGATTTTCCCGCCTCTCAAATGGGAAGGAAACCCGGAGCAGAGCCGCTGCAGAGGGCCAAGTATCGGTCCTCTCCGTGCCGCCTGGAGCGCAGCGTCAGCCCCGGGGCGCGCGCCCTGGTCCCAGAACCTCTTGGACCCCGAACTGGGGCCCTGGGGTGGCCCCACTTCTATGGCGATGGGCATGGCCTGGTCCGCGTCCTCCCTGGATCTCTTCGCTACCCGAGGTGTGAGGGGGAGGAGATTGGGCGGGACCCGGACTCCGATGAGGGGGCGGGGGCGGACCAGAGGGCGGGGCATCGGCGGACCCTCCGCCCCGCCCCCCGAAGGACTCTCCGGTGCTCTGCCTGCCCCGGGAGAAGGGGGCGGAAAGCAGTTTGGACTTGGACCCAGCACGGAACCGTTCCATGGTGTTTCCGAAGCTGGGTTTAACTGGAAAATGTGACCGAGCCCTGGCGCCTTGCTTCTCTCTGCCTCAGTTTCTCATCTTAACATCAAAAACTCTTCGGGGAGGGAGGTGGTGAGCAGATTCATAATGCACCCCTTCCAGGAGGCAGGGGCCAATAGGGTGCCTCCCACTGTCCAGATGGGAGCACCAGGAGAGCAAGGGCTGGGTGTCCACTTCGCCCCAGTGTTCCCACACAGCGTCGTATCTGCTGAATGAATGAATGAATGAATGAATGATGTGACTTTAGCCTCTAGGTTTTGTAAGATTTGGGCTCCTAGGGCTCTCCCTGCTTCCCTTTGCATCGTGTCTTCACTCGGCGACTGGGATCAGCTTATAAAAATGGAGGAAGCGGAGGGAGGAAGAAGGAGAAGGATTTACATTTAAAGGAGGATCAAGTCCGTGTGTTGCCGAGATGAGGGGCTGACAGACTAATTTCAGGTATTAGTGCTGAGAGGCCCTCCCCCCTCAGGGTCCTTCCTTGTGCCCTGTCCAGAGATGGCCAGCTCCCTCCTCCTTCACCCACAACACTCTTCTGATCCAGTTCAGAAGACCCTACCCCATTAGAAGACTATCACAATTTTAGAGACAAAGAAAATAGATGAGCAAAGCAATGAAATGAAATTGCCTTAATCCCATCACCAGCGACAACTGAGGCTAAAATATGCCCCACTTTACATACTGTGTTTTTAGTTTACTTTTCACTGTCAAACTTTCTGTTTGTTACTCTGTTTAGAACTTAGTCGCTGTATTTTCTGGTGCAGCCATTCCTGCTTCCCCGGGGCGGGGGGAGGGTAGTCCTAGAAAGGGACTCCATGGCACAAACTGTCCGATTTGTATCAGCGCCCCCATCTTGCCCTCTAGGTTACCAGGGCTCTGAGGGGGATTGCTTCTTCCCCCTTTCTCACCCAGTGGCTGGGTATTAGGTTTAAAGAGGCTTGTCCTGTCCCCCTGAGACTGTCCTCTTCCCAGGTAGGGTGACCCTTCTGGACCCAGAGCTCCCAGTGCTCCTCCCTGGGTTATGTCCCTTCCCCGGGCCCCTCTCTTACCCCACTGTCCTGGCATCACTGGGTGCTCCGCTGAGATTCCACCCATGTTGCTGCCATCAGGTGTGTATATATATATATAATCTCCATTTGTCCAGTGAAGGAGCTGGGTCCTGAATTCCAGTCCCCTGCCCCCCCACTGATGTCCAACCTTCAGCTCCTCCCCACATCCATGGCCTCCTCTCTATCTCAGTCTGGTTCAGTTCTCAGCCAGCAACCATAGAGGCCCACATCTACCGGGCTTACGCCGGGCACTTATGCTCTCTCAATGTTAACACACAGCCTGGGGGCGGTGGGGGGGGGCGATCACATGCAGAGACAAACCACGGCTGGCTGACTGAGCCCTGGGATCTGGCCACTCAGCTGGCACTGCCCCTCAGGTCCCTGACCGTTTGCTGGGCGAGGGGATCTAGAAATGGAGCAGCCCAGCTGAAGAGTGACCCCTTTGCCCAGGCTGCCCTCCCTGAGCCCTGGGGTCTTTCTCCACAGCAAGGTACCAGAGCACCTGCCTCTTGTCTCCTATGCCTGCCCCCGCCCCCCAAGCCTGTGTCACCAAAAATCGCCCATTGATCCAGGCTTAAAATAACCCCTGGCATCTGCAGCGAGCCCCAGGGGGCGGGCAGAGGATCCGTGTCTCTGTGCCTGAAGGGCATCCGCCCCGCCCCCAGCTCTGAGTGCTGGCAGCTTGAGTGTGAGGGTGGCTCCATGTGCTCCCGAATGTGAGCGAGAGTGCCTGTCCGGGGCCAGCCTGGCTATGAGGGCCTTCCTTCCACCACAGACATGCGCGTGCATGTGTGTGTCCGTGTGAATGTGCGTGTGCACACACGTTCTTCCTTCGCTGTTGAGGCCTCTCCTGGAGCCCAGCTCTGGCTGTGCAAGGCTCAGGGTCCCGAGAGGTCATGGACATTAGGGAAAGGCCGGGATGGGCCTCAGTGTCCCCATTTTAGAGTGGGGGTCAGTGACCAGTCTGCCCCAGCCCTGGGCCCAGGAATTTGGGATTTCCTAGAGACAAACCCAAGACCCAGAGAGCAGAAATGACTTTCTGTAACTGGCACACAGCCAAGAAGGACCAGGGTCTGGCTTGGAACCTGCACTGTGAGTCCCAAACCTACTTCTGGCCAGTTTCATACAAAGCGAGAGCGCAAGTGGAGGACCCCGGTCCAGGGAAGTGTCCCTACACCCTGATAACACCCTTCACGCCTGACAATGCCTGGTGCGCCCTGACTCCTTCAGGAGCCTCTGGCCTTCCACAGGCTGTTCTCTGCTCTCGGAATGCCTTTCCAGCCCCTCCCACGGGTAGCTCCTACTTATCCTTCATTTTGGAGCCAGATTAAAGTGGGTTGGGGGCGCCTGGGGGGCTCAGTCGGTTAAGCGACTGCCTTCGGCTCAGGTCATGATCCTGGAGTCCCGGGATCGAGTCCCGCATCGGGCTTCCTGCTCAGCAGGGAGTTTGCTTCTCCCTCTGGCCCTCCCCTCTCTCATGCTCTATCTCATTCTCTCTCTCAAATAAATAAATAAAATCTTAAAAAAAAAAAGTGGGATGGAATTCCTGCTCTAATAGGACAGTCGACCTTTCTAGGCCTGTTTTCTTTCAGCTAGCACCTCTTTGGCAGGGCTGCAGGGAGAAGCCAATGCCCCCCCCCCCCCCCCACGGAGAGACACGCCGGTACATGCTGTCTGGTGGGAGCTCCCCCATGGCAGCGCTAGATGGGTGATCCCCATCATGGGTGCCATCCGTAAGCCTCAACAGTCACATTCCCAAGCCCATTTCGCTTCCATTTCTTCCATGATGGAGGGTTACCCAAAAAGCAGAGATTCTAGAGAACGATGGACTTCCTGCTAGCACAGATGCGCAGACCAGTCCGGGGAGCGGGTCCGGAGGGGAGGGCCCGCAGCTCCTTTGTTTCTGAGAGGCAGCTCGTGACTCAGGCTCCAGCTGCCTGTGGGAGGGAGGGGGCGCCCAGGCTGAGGTCGCGAGGGAGCAGCATGGTGGGGGGGGGGAGTGGTGCTGGGAGCGGGGGCTTAGCTTCCAGTCCCAATTCCTCGGGCACCCTCTTCCCGGCGCTCCCCCCCGCTGCCTCCCCCTCTCCCCCTTCAGGACCCTCCAAAGGCCCTAGTGAATATGCAGATCTGGAGCTGATCACTAAGTCCCTACGACGGGAATAGATTCAGAGAGGACAGAGCTCAGCGGAGGCCACACAGCGCGTCCACCCACCAGGACCAGGCCCTCCCAGTCCCGCCGGCCTGCCGGTTCCTGGACACAATTCTGAGGTCAGCTCCGAGCCCACAGCCCGGGCGGAGGCGTTTTTGCGCCCCTCGACACAGACACGTCCCTCCAAAGCCGGGGCCATGCCCTGCATCCAGGCCTCTTCTGGCACGGGATGCTCGTGAGGACGGGGACCCCGCGTGAGCGTGGAGGTCCAGGGTTTGGAGAAGGTACTGGTGGTCGTGGTCCCGCCGCTCACCAGGTGCCGCCCTTTCTCCTCGTCCCTCGGCCTTGAACCCACGCCTTCTGCGGGCCTTGGCCCCGCCCCTTTCCTACTCCCTGGAGGCTTGGGGTCCTTCAGCCCCGCCTCCCTCCCTGACCCCGCCCCCAGCCGCGCCTCTCGCCCTGTCCCCACCCGCTCGGTCCTGCAGCCCCCGCTCCCCGCGCTCGGCGGAGGCAGGTCTCGGTGCCACCTGCTGGGCTGACCGCAGACACTCCGGAGATAGACTTTCGCCTGCCCCGGAGTCATCTTCTGCATCACAGATTCTCTGCAGCTCAGGGGAGGGAGAAGATGTTCAGAGGCCCTCTGGGTCCCGGGACCCCTGTAGCGTTGCCTGGGCAGCTTCCCTGCCCCGAGTCCCGGGA